TTACAAGAGTTATATCCTCTTGTTGGATTGATCCCTTTATCATTATGAAATGTCCTTCTTTGTCTCTGGTTACTGCCTTTGTTTTAAAGTCTATTTTTTCTCTTACAAGTATTGCAACACAGTTTACTTTTTGTTTACATTTGCACAAAATATCTTTTTTCATCCCTTTACATTCTGTGTTTATCAAGCTGAAGTGGGTCTCTTTTAGACAGCATACGTATGTATGGTTCTTGGTTTATATTCATTCAGCCATTCTATGTCTTTTGATTGGAGCATTTAGTCCACTTACATTTAAAGTAATTGATAGATATGTAGTTATTGCCATTTTATTGTTTTTTGAATGTATTTTAGTTCCCTGTTCCTTTCTTATTTTCTTGCTATCTTCTCTTGTATGTTTATGACTTTTTATAGTGTTCTGTTTGGATTCCTTTCTCTTTATTTCTAGTATATATCTTACAGATTTTCGGTTTGTGGTTAATATATGCTTCATATATACTAAGTTATATTTGTAGCAGTCTGTTTTAAGTTGATATTTGCTTAACTTCAAACATATTACAAAATCACTACAATTTTTGCTCATCCCTTCTACGTTTATGTTTTTGTCATTTTTTACTTTTGTGTCTGTGAGTGTATCCCTTAATTGATTGTTATAATTACACATTATCTTCCTACTTTGCCTTTAACATTTTTTGTAATACTGGTTTAGTGGTGATGAACTCTTTTAGGTTTTTCTTGCCTGGGAAACTCTTTTATCTCATTTGATTCTAAATGATAGCCTTGCTGGGAAGAGTAATCTTGGTTGTATTTCCTTGCTTATCATCACTTTGAATATTTGTCAGTCCCTTCTGGCCTGCAAAGTTTGTGTTGAGAATTAGCTGATAGTTTTATGGGAGCTTCTTTGTATGTAACTAATTGCTTTTCTCTTGCTACTTTTAAAATTCTTTATCTTTAAACCTTTTTCATTTTAATTATGATGTCTTGGTGTGGACCTGTTTGGGTTCATCTTGTTTGGGACTCTCTGTGCTTCCTGGACTCATGTGTCTATTTCCTTTGCTAGGTTAGGGAAGTTTTCTGTCATTATTTCTTCAGTAGTTTTCAATCTCTTGTTCTCTCTCTTCTTCTTTTGGTACCCCTATGATGCAAATGTTGGTATGCTTGATGTTGTCCCAGAGGTCACTTAAACTGTCCTCAGTTTTTAAAATTCTTTTTTTTTTCTTTTTGCTGCTCTTATTGGGTATTTTTTGCTATCTTGCATTGCACATCATTGATTTGATCATCTGCTTCATGTAATTTGTTGTTGATTCTTTCCAGTGTATTTTTCATTTCAGCTATTGTAATCTTTATTTCTAACCGGTTCTTTTTTTATGTTTTCCACCTCACTGAGTTCATCTAATCTTCCCCTAAGTTCGTTGAGCATCCATTACACAGTGTTTTCAACTTTGTATCTGGTAGGTTGCTTGTCTCTATATCATGTAGTTGTTTTCTGGAGTTTTGTCCTGTTCTTTTATTTAGGACATGTTTCTTCATCTCCTCATTTTGGCTGCCTCCCTGCATTTATTTCTATGTATTAGGTAGATCTGCTATGTCTCCCAGTCTTCACACAGTGGCCTTATATAGTACATGTTCTGTGGGTCCCAGAAGCCCAGTCTCTCTAATTACCTCAGCCGGGAGTTTTAGGGTTTTCCCTTGTATGAGTTGTGTAACCTTCTGTTATAGTTGAGCTTTGATTGCTGTTGGCATGTCATAGGTTTGGTTGACCCTCAGACTAACTGGCTTTGAGTACTGGCTGTGACTACAGTGAGTGAGCTGTTGTGTGGGAGCTGACCCTATGAAGAGGGAATCACTTTAGTGGGCTCTGGTGCCTGTTGAGTTTGCCCTTTTGGTATGTTGTTTGTGGAGCTGGTTGGGTGGTGCTTTTGGTGTAGTTTAAAGCTGGCCACCCAGTATGTTGGTTCTGGAGCTTTTTGGGAGAGGTTCCAGTGTAGGCCAAGGTCAGTTGCCACTTGTGCTGGGCTTGAGGTCACCCGGTAGGATCTACAAAGTGATCTGCAGTTGATTGCTTTTTGTGCAGGGCTTGGAGGCATTTGCATGATGGCATGGTGCAAACTGAAGCCAGCTGCTACTTGCGCTGGGCTTGGGACCCTTTAATGGGTACCTTGATGTAAGCTGAAGCCAGTGCTAACTTGTGCCTGGCTATAGCTGCTTAGTTGAAGCTACATTTTAAACTAAAAGTGGCCGCCACTTATTCCAGGCTTGTGGCCACCTGATGGGAATTACAATGCAAGTGAAGACCAGTCACTGCTTATGCTGGGCTTAGGGCTGCTTGCAGGGCATCCTGAACTCAGCTGCTGCTTGTTTGGGGTTTGTGGGCCTTTGAGAGATTTTAGGAAGGTCCACAAGCCCTCGGCAGGCCCCCTGTGTGGAGCAGCCACTGCAGGGCTGGACTTGAGTGGGGTGGGGTTTTAGGGAATCACCAGGGAAAGCTAATGCCCACTTGTGCCCACTGGCTGAGTGAGAGGAGTGTTCAACAAAGGAATAGTGATGCCTATCAGCACTTCCTCAGGGAGAGCTGCCTGGACCCCTGCTCCTTCAGCCCTTGCTGTGAAACTAATTCCTCCCTGGATGTCCCTGGCACTTTTCAAGCTGCTGTCCCTTCTCTGGACCCCAGAACAAGTGAATTTGTCAGTGAACAAGTTCATGCACAGGACCTTTAAGAAGACAACTTGATTTTTAGCAGTCCTCTGGATCACTGTACTCAATCCCTGCTGGTTTTCACAACCGGTATTCTGGGGGACTTCTTTTCCTGGCACTGGTGCGCCTGGTTGGGACCCATTGCTCCTCAGGGGGGACCTCTGCAGCCCAGCTCTTCCTCCTTATCCTTTTTTAAAATTATTATTATTTAAGGTATTACAAATAGTAGTACACGTCTCCTTTTTTTCCCCATTGACCTCCGCCCGGCCTCCCCTACCCCCATTCCTCCTCTACCCTCAGCACTTGCCCTCACACCGCCCCCCAGTGTCTTGCATCTGTGGGTTGTGCTTATATGTATGCATACAAGTCCTTCGGTTGATTCCTCCTTGTGGAGGCCTGCTGGCTAGCACCTTCGGATGTTTTTTAAATATTGTTGGCTGGACCCAGAGCTCAGGCAGAGCCATGCCCTGGGGGCAATCCTAGTCAAGAGGCTAGGATGCCACTCAGTCTGACTTTCCCGCCCAGGTGCTAAGGGAAAGGATGGATCCTATTAACTCAAGACCCACCCAGATGTGATGTAACTTCCTGTTACCTCGAATATATATTAAATTTACTTCCAATGCTGCGCGTCTGTCTGCCCCTCCATCAGAGGGCAGATGCCACACCCGGTCCCAGCTTTCCCTCTATTTCTATCTCAGTCTTGTTTTATTCATTTTTCCTTAAACCTTGTCGTGTTCTAATCAAGATTCATCAACCCCCGCGTGTTCGTTCTCTCTCTCTCTCTCTCTCTCTCTCTCTCTCTCTCTCTCTCTGCGCTGGTTGCGGGAAGAGAGAACTCCCCCCAGTACCTCCTGATTCTTAATCACTACACTTTGGATGTGAAACCTGCTGGTTCTGTGTCTCTGCTCCTTTTACCAGTCTTGACATGGCTTCTTTATGTCCTTAGTTATAGGACTTCTGTTCAGCTGATCTTCATCTGGTTTTCAATGATGGTTGTTCTATAACTTAGTTGTAATTTTAATGTGTTCATGGAAGTAGGTGGGCATAGCGTTTAGCTCTTCTACCATCTTTGCTGGAAGTTCATAGAATCTTAACTAATAAATGTAGGAGAAATAATGGAACTAGAAAATTACTATTGGATAGCTATTTAGTAATCATTCAAGTAAAAAACATTCATTACTAGATGCTAAACCTCATGGAGGAAAGCTTGATAAATATATTTGTATGATCTTAATATATTTCTCCTCCAGTACTTACTAAAAGCAAAGTAGAAGAAAATAAGTTTATGGTGGAGAAGCCTGACAGGGACTGCTTTTATCAGAAACTGGTGTTAACATCCCCAGTAATGAGATAAATTGAAATCAAGTTTCATCTGATAAGATTCAATGAAAGGAACATATCATCATTTCTTTAATATTCCTGCCAAAGATGAATAATCTGGTTATAGTCATAAAGAAATATTAGACAAAGACAAATATGGGGAGACATTCTGTAAATTTTCAAAATTATCAGGTATGCAAATCAAGGAAAAGCTGAGGAACTGTTCCAAACTGAAAGAAACCAGAGACATGATGTGCAGTTCTGAACCGTGTGAATTAACAATGTGTGATTTTGAAATAGCTTTTTTGTTATAAAAGTCATATTGGAACAATTGGCAAAACTTGAATGGAATGTGATGACTATATGGTATAATATATCAATATCAATTTCCTGATTTTTATGATTGAAATGTTTCCTAGGAAATATTGGTAATGGGATAGCAGATGAGCAACTTACTCTCAAGTGGTTTGGGGGCAGATTATGTATACTATATTTCTACTTTTCTGTAACCTTGTAATTTTTTAAAAACTTTTAAAAAATGTTTTTGGTGCTTAAAAACTAAAATTTATTTGAAAAATCACACGCCTGAGTTTTTAAAAATATATATTTTTTATTGATTTCAGAGAGAAAGGGAGAAGGAGAGAGAAATAGAAACTTCAATGGTGAGAGAGAATCATTGATCAGCTGCCTCCTGCATGCCCTCTACCGGGGATCAAGGCCGCAACCCGGGCATGTGCCCTTGGCCGGAATCGAACCTGGGACCACTCTGTCTTCAGACAGACACTCTATCCACTGAGCCAAACCAGTTAGGACACCTAATTTCTTAATGATGCTGAATAATATAGGGGAATATATAATTTTAATAAATCAAACAGTAAAATTAAATTCTTTTGTTCACTCATTTTCAGTAAAATTGCTTTTATTTTCCTTCAGAACTAGCATTCTAATGCTTATTAAAGTAGCATTTTTTTTCTATTTTATCTTGAAAGATTGCTCAAGAAACAGATGTTAGAGCCCAGATTCGTCTGCAGTTTCGTGATGTGAATGGAGAACTCGTAGCTGTGCAGAGATCTATGGTGTGTACTCAGAAAAGCAAAAAGACAGAATTTAAGACCCTGGAAGGAGTCATTACTAGAACAAAGTAGGTTTTTATTTTATATTTGATTATCCGTTCATTTTCTGTCTTTTAGTTTTTTTATGGTTTTTCCTACTACTTTGAGTTTATTTTAGGGGAGCATATTAATTTTTTAACAGACTATTTTTTAGGGCAATTATAGGTTCTCAGAAAACTTGAGCAGAAAGTAGCCTGTATAATCCCTGCCTCTACATATGCACAGGTTCACCCACTGTCATCATTTAATTTTTTACTTGGTTACAATTTATCAGTTAAACAGAATGATAATGTTCCGTTCTTTTGAGTAATTTATGAACAGTTGCTGAATTGAAGATCCATAGTCACTCAAATATAGATTGAATGAAAAACTGGTAGTATCGTGTAGGGATGGGTGAGATGAGAAGTAGACAAGTAGGAGAGAGTAATAATTTGTCCATTTCAACTGAGCAAGTGTCATCTTGCAGTGAGTATGGATTTTGGAATTAGGCCACCCTGGGTTTAAGGCTTTATCTTTGTTGAGCAAATTACTTAACTGTGACCTTACCCCCTTCCTTTTTCATTTATTTCTTATTTGTTAAACTAGTGAAATAATCCTTTTATTTAACCAGTAACGTGTAGCATCTATTATGTGTTAGAGGTACTATACTAGCCACTAGCTTCTTAAGCAGGTTCTTTTTAGTGGCTTTTAAGCACATACCTTTGATTTCAGTCCACTCCAGTTACTGTTTCCATCTTCCCCTTTACAGCCAATCTTCTCAAATGAATTGTTGATACTTACTGTTTCCATTTCTTTACTTTCTCCTCACTCCTTCTCTAGCCCCTTCCTCTACTGAAACAGCTACAACTAAGGTCACTAATAACCTCTGTACTAATTAAGATAATGTTATGGTTATATAAAATAGACCTCACAGTTAGTGAGCTTGTTTTTTTTCATTTGTAAAATTGGGGTTCAGTATCACTGTACATATTAAAACAGATGTAAGGATTGTGCTAGTGCATATAAAATGCTTAATATGTATTAAGAGCTCATGTATTAGTTTTCTATGACTGCTGTAACAAACCACAAACTTAGTGGCTTAAAACAACACAATTTATTTATTTTTAAGTATATTTTTATTGATTTCAGAGAGGAAGGGAGAGGGAGAGAGAGAGAAATATCACTGATGAGAAAGAACCATTGATCTGCTGCCTCCTGCATGCCCCATACTGGAGATGGAGCCCACAACCCGGACATGTGCCCTAACTGGGAATTGAACCATGACCTCCTGGTTCATAGGTCAGCACTCAACTACTGAGCCATGCTGGCCAGGCAAAACAACACAATTTATTATCTTGCAGTTCTGTGATTTAGAAGTTTGAATTGGGTCTCACTAATCTAAAACCAAGGTGTTGGCAAGGCTGTTTCTTTTTGGAGGCTCTAGGAACAGTCTGTTTCCTTGCTCTTTCCACCTTTTATTTTATTTATTTATTTTAAATGTATTTTTATTGATTTCAGAGAGGAAAGGAGAGGGAAAGAGAGATAGAAACATCAGTGATGAGAGAGAACCATTGATTTGGCTGCCTCCTGCATGCCTCTTACTAGGGATTGAGCCAGCATCCTGGGCATGTGCTCTGACCAGGAATCAAACCATCACCTCCTGGTTCATAGGTCAGCGCTCAACCAGCGAGCCATGCCGGCTGGGCACTCTCCACCTTTTAGAGGCCACCCACATTCTTTGGTTCCTGGCACTCTTCCTCCAAATTCAAAGCTAGCAACAGTGGACAGAGTTTTCACATCGCATCACTCTGACTTCCTCTTCTGCCTCCCTCTCCCAAACTTAAGGACCCTCTCCTTACCTTGGCCCACCCATACAATCCAGGATAACCTATTTTAAAGTCAGATAAAGGGTAACTTCAATTTCATCTCTTCTTAATTCCCCTTTGCCTCATAAACTAACACATTCACAAATTCCAGGGACTGTAATATAGATCTCTTTAGAAGGCCATTGTTCTATGTACTACAACGCAGTAAAAAGTAGATGTTAATCACTTCTTACTTGAACATGTTTTTAGATTTCCATGACATGCCGAAACACTGTTCCCTCTTCCTTTTCCTTAAAGCCAACTTCTACCCAGCCAATAAAAGTTGGAGCTGTACAGACTTAGTCCTAGATCCCCTTTCATTTTTGCTCTATATTCTCTTCTTAGATAATCTCATTTATACCTATTGCTCAATTTACTGTGTATTCATAGGTAACTCACAGATTTATGTCTCCAGGCCAGACCTCTGTTTCTAGACCGATGTACTTAACTGCCTCTCTAATTTTTCTACCAGTTGTTTCAAAGATGCCTCAGATTCAACTATACCAAGTTCATGATCCTTCCCCTGACTCCCCTTGAAAAACCTCTTACAGTTCTCTTACTCTCAGTGAATGACACCACTACCTATCTGGTGACACAAGCCGAGAACCTAAGTCTGTTTTGACATCTTCCTTGCCCTTCATATTCAGTCCATTATCAACTTGTGTGGATTTAACCTGAATGTCTTTTTAGTCTTCTTCTTTCTATCTCTATGATGACCATTCCAGTTAAAGCTACCATTATCTTTTCCTGGTCTAATATGATAACTTCCTGCTCTATCTGTGCCCATTCAATCCCCCTACAAAACATTCTCACTTCATTCAGTGTAATGTTTTAAACATACATAAGGGAATATGTAAATGACAGGAAAGATCGACACTGCTTCTGCCTACCTCATCTAGTTGTTAACAGATACTGACTGGACAGAAGATATGAAAGAACATGGTAGATTTGTCTTTCTGCTGGAAGATACTGAGAGATCTCTTGGAATCCAAGGACAAGGATGCTCCTTGCTCTGGGTATACTGATCTCACTTAAGAGACCCCAAAGCAGTTCTCTTTATTGTATTGCTTTGGCAGTGTGAACCTAGAACTTGAGGTCTACTGATAAGAATCCTCCCTGGATTTGCTAGATGGGTACCACTAAGGTTTGTTTGCCTTTACTCTCCTTTTACCATGTGTCTGTTATTAAACAACCCCTTATCTAAACTACACAGTCTTTACATGTTTTTGTTTAAGGCACCTTTGCCTGTCTGCTGTGGATTATCATGTTTTGTTCTATTCTCTTAAGACCCTTATTTTCCTTATTTTTAAGTTCTAGGGATGGGAGGTAGTTTATTTTTCCCTATGTATTGTCTATAGGTATTTTAAATGATTGTAATTAAAAATCCAAATATGTAAAAACATATTACATAAATTCTTACATCTTTTTCTGAACCACACAGTTTTATGTACTTCTTTTCTCAGTGAACTGAATTATTTCAGAATACTTTTTTTTTTCAATTTTTTTTAAAATATATTTTATTGATTTTCTACAGAGAGGAAGGGAGAGCGAGAGAGAGCTAGAAACATCGATGAGAGAGAAACATCGATCAGCTGCCTCCTGCATATCTCCCACTGGGGATGTGCCTGCAACCAAGGTACATGCCCTTGACCGGAATCGAACCGGCGACCCTTCAGTCCGCAGGCCGACGCCCCATCCACCGAGCCAAACCGGTTTTGGCTCAGAATACTTTTTAACATGAGGAAGCTATTGTAAGAGGGATGAATGAAGGGACTTTTTTTTTTTTTACAAGTATAACATAAAGGATTGATTTAAGCAATAGAATAGGCACAACTGGAGGTTATTTTACATAAATTCTTTATTTTCATTTTCTATAGGCATGGTGAAAAGGTCAGTCTCAGCTCTAAGTGTGCAGAAATTGACCGAGAGATGATAAGTTCTCTTGGGGTTTCCAAGTCTGTGCTAAATAATGTCATTTTCTGTCATCAAGAAGATTCTAATTGGCCTTTAAGTGAAGGAAAGGCTTTGAAGCAAAAATTTGATGAGATTTTTTCAGCAACAAGGTTTGTAACATTTAATTAGACTTTGTAGCCCATTAAGTTATTGATACGATTGCAATTTGGATATATCTTTCTTAAAACAGATAAAATTTTAAAAGCAAGAAAGTCATTAATTATTACTTCTCAGTAGCAACTAGTGGGCATATTTCCTTTCAGTTTTCTTTCTGTGCATGTAAACTACCTGATTGACAGTGTATATGTAACTTTTTCACTTACCATATGTCATAAGCATTTTCCAAGTTATTAAAAACTTTTAATGACTGCATAATATTTCATTGTATGACTATACTATCATTTACTTATCCAGAAATTGTTATTTAATATCTTCATAGGTACATTAAGGCCTTGGAAACACTTAGGCAGGTACGCCAGACACAAGGTCAGAAAGTAAAAGAATGTCAAACAGAACTAAAATATCTGAAGCAAAATAAGGAAAAAGCTTGTGAGATCCGCGATCAGATTACTAGTAAGGAAACCCAGTTAACATCTTCAAAAGAAATTGTCAAATCCTATGAGAATGAACTTGATCCACTGAAGGTAATTTGATTTCTTATATGCTAAGGAGAAAGTCACCTTTACCATGGTAGCACTCACCCTTTATGACTCAGTGGTTCTCAACCTTCTGTCCCTTTAAATACAGTTCCTCATGTTGTGACCCAACCATAAAATTATTTTCGTTGCTACTTCATAACTGTAATGTTGCTACTGTTATGAATCGTAATGTAAATATCTGATATGCAGGATGGTCTTAGGCGACCCCTGTGAAAGGGTCGTTCGACCACCAAAGGGGTCGCGAACCACAGGTTGAGAATCGCTGCATGTACTTTATTTTGTTATGAGTTTGAATGATACATATATTTCTTGAAATATGTACAGTACGTAATACTTGATAATGGTAATATATTACTATGTTACTGTTTTATGTATTTACTACATTGTACTTTTTATCATTATTTTAGGGTGTACTCTTTTTACTTATAAAAAAACTTTTGCTATAGAACAGTATTCATCAGGAAATGCAAATTAAAACCACAATGAGATGCCACTTCATACTTACTGAAATGAGTATAAATTAAAAAAATAAGTGTTGGTGAGGATGTGGAGAAATTGGAGCTCTTATACATGCTGGTGTGAATGTAAAATGGTGCAGCCACTTTAGAAAATAGTTCAGCAAGTTCCTCAAAATGTTGAACATGAATTCTCATATAACCTCAAAGGAAATTAAAACATAAATCTACATAAAAACTTGTATAGGAATGTTTATAGCAGTATTATGCATAATAGTAAACAATGAAAACTCAGATGTCATAAATACCTGATCAATAAAATATGGCATATCCATATATTGGATTATTATTTAGCCATAAAAAGAAATGAAGTTCTCATACATGCTAAGTGAAAGAAGCCAATCACAAAAGACCACATATTGTATGATTCCATTTATTTAAAATGGTCAGAATTGGCAAATTGATAGAGATAGAAAATAAATTAGTGATTGCCATGGGTAGGTGGTAGAGAGGAATGAATAGTGACTGCTAATGAATACACGGTTTCTGTTTAGAAATTGAAAATGTCCTAAGAATAGAGTATGGTGATGGTTGCACAACTCTGAATACACTAAAAAACATTGAATTGCACACTTTAAATGGATGAGTTGTAGGGTATGCAAATTATATCCCAATAGCGCTGTTTAAAAAGTGATATAAATCTTTAATTAATAAGATTTAATATAAATCTGTTTTAAGGTGTCCAGGGAGGAAGCATGGCTGAGCTGGGCCTTAAAGAATGGGAAAATTATATCAACAGATTGGAAGGCATTTTATGTATGTTTGTATTTATTCTGCATTTTTTTTTCTTTAAAAATAATCTATGCTCACAATGAAAAAAATTACAGAAGAATATTAATTTAAAGTAAGAAATGTTCTTCCCACTTGTTATTTTTGGCCTCCTAGACACATCCAACCAAAAACTTTTTTTGCATATATATAACATATATGTGCATATATTCACATGTATATAAGTATATGTTCACACATACAAGCTTATCAAAATAGGATTGTGTGAGAAGAGCCTGGGTTAAGTAAATCAGGGTAAAAGGAGTAAGAGATTATTACAGTCAGATTATGAAGAGTTAATGGGTTTAGAATTTAGTTCAGTAGACAAAAGAATGACAAGTATGATGTATCTTACTAGACTAGAGCTGTAAGCTCTGAGGTGGCCAGAAAGGACTTTATGAGACTAAATTTGGGGTATGTTTTAAACCAAAAATGGGTAGGTAATTAGAGACATAGGGACAGTAAAATGCAAACTGTCTTTGAACACTATCAAGGAAATTCATATAGCTGAAGTAGAGCATATGAATAGGAAATATGTCAAGATAGGCTGGGATAATATCTGATATTTATTTGAGTGGTGCCTAGATTCCAAGATTGTAGCAAACATTGAGGTGTTTGTAAATTTCTTTGTTTAATTTGACTAGTTCTCCAAGGTTTTAATCTTATTCTCTTCAGAGCCTAGTCCAGTGCCTGGCACATAGCAGGTGGGTCAGTAGTATTTATTAAGTGGGTTATTTCCAAAGTCCTTTTTTAGCTCTAATATTTGAGAATTCTTTCCTTCATAGAACTCAGCATAAAGTTTGGATCAAGTCACCTTCCCAGCAGCCATCCAGGGATAGTTTCATTTCACTACTGCACTATAATTCATTCTTAACCATTTTTACAGATTCCCCCAGTCTTTAAGAACTCTTTCATAAACTACTTTATTTCCATCCCACCACACTGGCTCATTTAGGCCTGTTTTTCTTTCTTTCTATTAGTGGAAACTGCTTGAGAAATTTGTTTTCAAGTTCAAAAACACTTATTTATTTTTCCACACACACAAGTTCATAGTCATCTATACTGATACAAGGGTAATATGCTAATTAGACTGGATCCACTGGACATCTGACATCCTTCCGGACAAAGCCATGGTGGCGGGGGCCGAGGCAGAGGTGGTTAGCGGTAATCAGGCTGGTAGGGGAGGGCAGTTAGGGGTATGGGGGAGCAAGCAGTTAGAGAAAAGATCAGGCAGGCAGGCAGAGGCGGTTAGGGGTGATCAGGCAGGCAGGCATGCGAGTGGTTACTAGTGGTCCCAGATTTCGAGAAGGATGTCCAACTGCCGGCAGTCCGACATTCCCCGAGGGGTCCGGATTGGAGAGGGTGCAGGCAAGGCTAAGGGACCTCCCTCCCCCGTGCATGAATTTTGTGCATCAGACCACTAAGCCTATATAATAAAGATATAATATGCAAATGGTCATGAAGCATATCGGCGTAACGACCGGATCATGGATCAGCAGGAGGGTGGGGCAGCGAGCTACAAGCGGGTGGTGGAGAGCTACAGGAGGGGGTAGGGCAGCAAGCTATGAGGTGGGGAGGGGGGACGAGGAGCTACCAGAGGGTGGGGCAGCAGGCAGAGAGCTACTGGAGGGCAGCAGTGAGCTACTGGCACACGGATTCGTGCACAGGGCTACTAGTTACATAGTAATAGCCCAATTACCCTATTCATTTGTCTCATTTCACACTAATGCCTAAGCTTTAAGCACTCTGCTATATTTTTTGTTGCTTACAAATTTGTCTTAGCTCCTTTTATTAGATTGTGTGCTCTGGGGGTAGAGCCAAAACACAAGTGTCAAAAAAAGAATCCACAGCATCTGGTGATGGGCTAGATATAAAAAAAGGAAGTAGCTAGGGATGTCACAAACAATTCAAGCCCAGATAATGTTAATGCCACCAAGAGGCAGTGAAAACACTGAGGGAAGCTAAGAAGTTTTTGAGAAGTAGAGTACCATTGCGGGTTTGGTTCCAGACTACTGCAATAAAATGAGTTGTAATATTTTTCCTGGTGGATAGGCTCTCCTCCAATTTGTAAACAATGCAACTTTGTGAAGTGCAATAAAATGAAACACAATAAAATGAGGTATGCCTATAATCAGTGTTTTGAAGATTCAATCCATTTCTCTTGGTTAGACTGTTCAAAAGGTATTCATTAAGGGCCAGCTGTATGTCAGTCACTGATCAAAGTGCTTTAAAATGTATTTTGTAAGCTCCACATTAATCCTGTGAGGTTTTTAGGAAAGAAAACTGAGACACAGGTTTTCATGTTGGAAGTAAGGGATAAAGCCCAGATTTGAGTCCAGGCCTCTCTGATTCCTATGCCTGTACTATTAAACGTCAGATTTATTGATGTATAATTTACATATAGTAAAATCAACCCTTTTAAAAGTATATAGTTCAATGAGTTTGGGCAAATGCATATAGTAGCATTGCTACCACTCCAATCAAGATACAGAACATTTCCATCCTCAAAAAGTTCTTATAAGTCTCTGTAGTCAGCCTTCTCCCTCCATCCCCAGCCCTTGGTAACCACTGATTCGTTTTGTCTTTTCCAGAATTGTCACATAAATGGAATCCTAGCTTATGTAGCTTTTTGCATCTGACTTCTTAGCATGTTGCTTTTAATTAGTCTCTTGCACATTTAGGTAGTTACTCCTTTTCATTGCTGAGGTTATTTTACTGTATGGCTCTATTACAGTATGTCCATCTGTTCCCTGATTGAGGGACGTTAGGTTGTTTCCAGCTTTTAGCTATTACAAATCAAACTGCTATAAACTTGTGTATGGGTCTTTGTTTGTAGTTTGTTTCTTTCTAGGGTAACTCTCCAGGAGGGGAGTTGATAGGATGTATGGTAAGTATATGTTTAACACTGTGAGCTGCCACTTTTCAGAGTGGCTGTACCATTTCATAGTCCTACCAAGAATGTTTACGATTGAAGTTGCTCTGCATCCTTATCAGCTCTTACATTGTTAGTCTTTTTTTATTTCAGCCATTACATTAGATAGGTTGTATCTCTTGAGTATTTTTTTTTCATTGTGCCTTTAATTTTTCTAATGTCTTTGGATATTGAGCATCCTTTGTATGTGTTTATTCGCCATCTGAATATCGTTTTTGGTAAAGTGTCTTTGATTCTTCTGGCTATTTTCAAAAAATGTTTTAATCCTCACCCAAGGACATTTTTCTCCCATTGATTTTCAAAAAGAGTGGAAGGAAGGGAGAGAGGAGGGAAGAGAGACAGAGAAAGAGAGAATCATTGATGTGAGAGAGACGATGCTCTAACTACTTAGCAACACTGGTCAAGGCTATTTTCAAATTTTTTTGTCTTACAAGCTGAATATTAAAAGTGCTTCAGATAGTTTCGATACAAGTCCTTATCAAATACATATTTTGCAAATATTTTGTTAACTGCTTTTCAAAGAGCAAGAGTTTAGTTTTTATGAAGTTCAGTTTATCAATTTTTCTTTTATAGTTTTTGTTTTTTATCTAGGAAATCTTTTCCTGACACAAAGATTTTTTTTTCTGTATTTTCTTCCTGACATTTTATAGTTTGAGTTCTTACACTTAAGTATATGCCCTATTTCGGGTTAATTTTAAAATATGTGTGAGGTAAGGTTGAGGTTTGCTTTTTTGCATACAGATGTTTAATTGTTCCAGCACACAAAGCCTAGGTCATAACCATTATACAACTCTGCATCCCAGTCTCATCTCTTATTGTTAAGTATATATGTAGCTTTATACAAGTTAAGTCCTCCAAGTCTCCTACCTAGTACATAGTCTCATAGGATTAAAGAGAATGTAGAGGAGCAGCTAGTACAATGTCTGCAAGTTGGTAGGCATTCAGTCATGATAGCTGTAACTGTAAATATAAAATCTTTAAAAATCTTTAAAAATTTTAAAAATCTTTTTTCAGCTAACATACTGAACACCTGTTATATGTGCTAGTGATACATTAGTGAACAAAATTCCTATTTTTATAGTGATTACATGCTACTGATTAATTTACAAATCACGAGATGGTTTGATACAATTTTATTAAATGACATTAAAGTTGAGGATGCATTTTGGTGCAGCTTTGAAAGGTTACAATAAATAAGCACTGTAGTAATGCGTTAGTTTAAAAATCAGGTTCTACAAATGTCTTGTAAGAGGACTCGGTCAGCCTTGGAAATGTAATGGCAGTGGAAGAGCATCACCCAGGAGAATGCTCTGAACCAGGTCACACATATTCCTAGGTGATGAGGCAGCCAGCTCTCCCAGGGAGCAGACCACTGAGGTTATTTATCACATTTCACGTGGTCAGAGTCCTCTGTGCTTGAGCCAACTTTGAATTAAAGTATAATCTTCCATGTAAATTTGCCTCCAGGCTCGGAATGCACTGGTGACTCACCCTGAGTCTCTAGCCCACTTGTTTTTCCTAACTTTTTAAAATACATTAAATAGCTAACCTTTTGAGGATTAAATTCTTAAAATGTGGTACTTTGCATAATGTGGCTCTAAGTACTCAATTAATGAATGACTTGGGGGTGTTGAAGATGAGACATGGCTTTGGAGTTAGATTTGGAGTTTACTGCTTTTCTTTACTAGCTATGAGGAGTTGGGCAAGTTACTTAATGTCTCCGATCCTTAGTTTTTGTATACCCCTTTGCAGCATCGTTCACATTAAATGAGATCACTTTTACCAAGTGCCTGACCCTGGCACATCTTATGTATTTCTCTTTATCCATCTGTGTTGTAAACTATAGAGAATTTTATTTATTGTAGAGTGTTTGTTTATTTCCAGAATCGTCTCAAAGAAATTGAACACAATCTCTCTAAAATAATGAAACTTGACAATGAAATTAAAGCCTTGGAAAGCCGAAAGAAGCAAATGGAGAAAGATAATAGTGAACTGGAACAGAAAATGGAAAAGGTTTGTGGTGATAGAATTTTGTTCTTCAAAATTCTGGGCTTCTTATAGTGAACCTCATTTTAATCCATTTTGCCACTCATTTTGGAAGAAAATCCTTATGATGTTTGCCTTCCAAGTATATGTTAAGAGGAAGGATATTGAATACTTTTTTCATACTTTGTACCTCAGAGTGATATCTTCTTATACTTATTAAAGCTCTTTATTTTGGTTTTGCATAGGTTTTTCAAGGGACTGATGAGCAACTAAATGATTTATATCTCAATCACCAGAGAACAATAAGGGAGAAAGAAAGGAAATTGGTAGACTGTCAGCGTGAACTGGAAAAATTAAATAAAGAATCTAGGCTTCTCAATCAAGAAAAATCAGAGCTACTTGTTGAACAGGGTAGGGTAAAGTATTTACTTGGTCTTTCTTATTGTAATATTATGCATTTTCAGCATGAATGATGAATCTCCAGGGAATTATGCTGAGTAAAAATAAGTCAATCTCAAAATATATACAGTGTATTGCCATTTATGTAACATTTTTGAAATGCCAGAATTTTAGAAGTGGAGGACTGATTAGTGGTTGCTAGGCTTACTAAGTAGGAGGAGGGGCAGGAAAAAGGTTACTGTGGGTATAGTTATAAAAGCAACAAGAGGGATTCTTGTGGTATTGGAACTGTTCGGTATCTTGACTGTTGTGGTAGATATATGAGCCAGTACAGGTGATACAATTATATAGAATTTAATAAACACACATACAAATGAATACAAGTAAAACTGGGAAATCTGAATAAGTTTGTAGGATTGTATCAGTGTCTGTATCCTGGTTGATAATGACACTACAATAGGTCCTTCGAATAACTTTTATTACAATGTTTTTGAGAGGCATAGGAACTTAACTCTTGTCTATATCAAGTAGTCTATGGTAAATTTGGTTTCATTATATGTCATTTCATTTAAAGTTGCAGAATCTATCCATGACTTTAAGTGAGGATTTACTTTATAGTTTTGCAAAATGTTACTAAAATGTTACACAGTTTTCTGCTTAAAAAATTCTAACACCAGGTGAGTGCATTTTTCCACACCAAGCAATTTTCCAATTCTTGGCAACTGGGTGTCCTGTAATTTAATTTAGTTCTGACACTAACTGTCTGGAATTAGCACAGACCCCACAGATTGAGGGCTCAGTCCTGTGAGACTGCCTTCCATTTCCAATGGCCGTTGCCAAGTCCAGGTTGTCTGTCACCTGTTCTTCTGACCACTGGCTATACATCAGGCATTTCTATACCCCTTCCTCAGATTCAATAATTTTCTATAATAGCTCATAGAACTCAGGGAAACACAATTTCTAGTTTATTATAAAGAATACAGCTCAGAAACAACCAAATGGAAGAGATGTATAGAGTAAGGTATGGGGAAAGGGCGTGGCACTTTCTAAGCACCTCCATGTGTTCACCAACCTGGAAGCTCTGAAGCTCCTTGTTTAGGGGTTTTATGGGAGTTCCATTATGTAATCATTATTGATTAAATTATTGACCATTGACGATTGAACTGAATCTTCAACTTCTCCCCAGAGTGGGGTAGGAGAGTACTGAAAATTCCTATTCTCTAATCACATAGAGGCTCCTCTGATAACCAGGTCTCATCCTACAGGCGTCACTTCATTAGAATAAACTCAGGTGTGGTAGAAAGAAACCTATAATGAATAATAATAAAAGAGAAACGTGTAAGTTGACCGTACCTCTGTGTTGCCCACCAGCCAATCAGGAGTGAGCATGCGAATTAACCGGACAAAGATGGAGGGTTAATTTGCATACACAGACAGAGAGCAGAGTGAGAGAGCTGGAGGCTTGGGGGGATGTGTCTCCCTTGGTCGCTCCCCGCAAGCCGCCTGGCAGAGAGCAGAACAGGAGAGTCAGAGGCTTGGGGGGGGTGCGGGGGGAGGCATGGCTCCCTTGGTCGCTGAGAGCAGAGAGGGAGAGTGGAGCAGCTTGGGGAACTTGGCAGAGTGGGAGGCCATGGGACAGAGACAGAGCAGGAAGGGAAAACCAAGAGTGTGGGGAGCACCAGGAATTCTGGGAATAGTAGTTCTGGTGGCAGCCCCAGGACCAGAAGCGGAAGCCCAGAGCCCAGGGAGCACCAGGAATGCTGGGAATCGTAGTTCAGGTGGCAGACGGATCTCCTAGAGTCTAGGTCAGCCGTGGGCAAACTACGGCCCGCGGGCCGGATTCGGCCCGTTTGAAATGAATAAAACTAAAAAAAAAAGACCATACCCTTTTATGTAATGATGTTTACTTTGAATTTATATTAGTTCACACAAACACTCCATCCATGCTTTTGTTCCGGCCCTCCGGTCCAGTTTAAGAACCCATTGTGGCCCTCGAGTAAAAAAGTTTGCCCACCCCTGGTCTAGGTCTAGGACCTAGACACTAGAGCAGTGGTTCTCAACCTTGGCTGCACATTAGAATCACCTGGGAATCTTTTCAAAATCCTGATTTCTGGGCCTCATCCTCCGGAAATTCTGTTTCTTTGTTACTAATGTTGTAGCCCCACCCCATAACAAAGAAACAGAATTTCCGGAGGATGAGGCCCAGAAATCAGGATTTTGAAAAGATTCCCAGGTGATTCTAATGTGCAGCCAAGGTTGAGAACCACTGCACTGGAGCAAAGTGAGCCTGGAGCAAGTTACTGTTGCGGTGGGGGATGGAGGGAAAGCAAAGGTGAGAGACATAAGTAAAATCAGAGTGTCTAGGAAAAATTAAAGGGAAGATATCCTAAAACTTCCAGGAAATCTCCACCAATGAAGCAAAGAAAAAAAAAGCCTCTATAATTCTGTGAGCAGCAAATCAAACTGGGTTGGGGTCTCAGACAGTTCGCTCATATGATTGCAAAGACAGACAGAAACTCCCAGATTGGAGACGGCTCCTCTGAGGTCTCCCAGATTGGAGAGGGTGCAAATCGGGCTGAGGGACCCACCCTTCCCCCCCACCCCCCCACCCCATGCACAAATCTTCGTGCACTGGGCCCCTAGTAATGAATAACAAAAGACACTCCTCTCTTGCCCTGGCTAGTGTTGCTCAATAGTTAGACCATTGGCCCATTCACAGAAAGGTCTCTGATTTGATCCCCAGGCCTTTCTTTGTCGGGGCATCCAGCTGATGTGTCTCTCTTACATCGATGTTTCTCTCTTTCTCTCCCCTTCCACTCTCTAAAAATCATTGGAAAAAATATCCTAAGGATTAACAACAACAACCAAACAAAGACATTCTATCCGAAATTCTAAGAGTTTTAGGAGATCAGTGCCAGGAACCAGGGACAAAGACCAAATGTGTATTTCTAATTATATTACAATATCATAGTTACTATTTGGGCAAACAGGGCACAGAATATAAGAGATCTTGCTGTATTTTTTTTACAACTACATGTTAATGTATGATTATCTCAATTTTTAAAAAATCAGCTAAAAATAGAATTATATCTACAGCTCAGTCCGTGTGGCTCAATGGTTGAGCGTTGACCTATGAACCAGGAGGTCACGGTTCGATTCCTGGTCAGGGCACATGCCCAGGTTGTGGGCTCAATCCCCAGTGGGGGGGGGGGGGGGGGGGTGCAGAAGGCAGCTGATCAATAATTCTCTCTCATCATTGACGATTCTATCTCTCCTCCCTTTCTCTCTGAAATTAATAAAAACATATTAAAAATAATAATAATAAAGGTCGTCTACAGCAACAAGCAGATCGCCATCAAGAAAATATCCGAGCTAGAGATTCATTAATTCAGTCTTTGGCGTCACAGTTAGAATTGGATGGCTTTGAGCATGGACCATTCAGTGAAAGACAGATTAAAAATTTTCACAAACTTGTAAGAGAGAGACAAGAAAAGGAAGAAGAAACTGCCAGCCAACTGATGGTAAATATTATTTTCTTTTGTTTGTGTCCAAATCTTTAGTTATGTTGTTTTAATTTTTGGATAGACCTTATTTTCTTATATTTTGGGGTTAGTTTTAGGATAGAATCTGATACAAGGTAGAAGAAACTTTCATGGAAGCAAATTTTTAAATGTGGATAAGGCTAAAAATATGAAGAAATGCAGACCTATATTTTTTATTTGATTTTAAGTAATATTTTTTTTTTCTTTTACCAGAAAAAGTAAAGGAAAAGGTTTGCTCAGAGTTAAAAATGATTATCTGTGGGTGCTAGCCATTCCATATTTTTTAACTTTTTAATATTTTCCTTAGTGTGCATGTGTTACTTTGATAATGAGGAAACTGTCACTTAATGAATTATGGAGTGAAAAAATTGTTAATACTTTTTTTTATATGTATTTAGAATGACTTTGCAGAAAAAGAAACTCTGAAACAAAAACAGATAGATGAGATAAGGGATAAGAAAATTGGACTGGGAAGAATAATTGAGTTGAAATCAGAAATTCTAAGTAAGAAGCAGAATGAGCTGAAAAATGTGAAGTACGAATTACAACAATTGGAAGGATCTTCTGACAGGATTCATGAACTGGACCAGGAACTCACAAAAGCTGTAAGACAAAATAATTTTAAGGTGTAAGACATTTAGAATCTTGTAGTTTGAAGTATTTTTTTTCTGTTGTTAATTCTAAGATTATGACATGTTAATTAAAATATCTATCTTGTCTAACAATTTCATGTAAAATGAATTCATCTAAATATCTTAATCAGTTAACTCTTTGGTTCTAGAATCCAGTGGATTAAAAATTAGAATCACCTAGGAACTTTTTAAAAAGTACTTATGCTTAGACCTTACTTCAGACCTTCCAAATCAAACCTCTCTAGAGTAGAGCCTGGAAATGTGCATTCAGAACAAAACAAGGCATTCTTACGAGTACCTTGGTTAAGAACCATTTACTTAAGTTAAAAAAGAAACAAGTATTTTTCCTCTAGGTTCCATACACTGTAGATCTTATAAATTTTTTGCCATACTACCACTTTTTCTATGGTGGAATCTTTCTTAGCCCACCTATTCTTTTCATGAATTTCCAAATTTTCTTCCTTCTTTCTATTTTCTTCATCCCCACCACCAAAGTAAACATCCTAAAGCTGGGAATTCCCCCTCTCAGACCCTACTTTGATAATGTAATTAAACACTGCTTTTTGCTTCCTAATTTAACATCTAGTGTACGTTTTGTCAGTTTAGCATTTTATCACAATACTAGAGGCCCGATGCACTAAATTCATGCAAGGGCCTTGGTCCTGGCCCCCGCCCACCGCTGCCATGGCCAGGGGCCTCTGCTGCCTTTGCAGCGGCCCCCACCTGCTGCAGCTTTGTCCGGAAGGAAGGACATCGGGTCTAATTAGCATATTACGCTTTTATTATTATAGACTAGAGGCCCGGTCCACGAAATTAGTGCACTGGGGGATGGGGTTCCCTCAGCCCAGCCTGCCCCTCAGTCCGGGAGCCCTCAGTGGATGTCCTACTCATGGCCACTGTCTGGCAGCAGAGGCTCGGTGCAGGCGTCCCGTGTGTGTGTGTGTATGTGTTTGTGTGTGTGTGTGTGTGTGTGTCTGTCTGCTGGGGCCTGCCCCCAGCCGTGCCACATAGGCTCCGAGCATTTGCCGTTTGTGTGTGTCCAGCGGTGGTCTGCTTCCAGCCACATTGGAAGCTCAGAGTAGGCGCTGTGTGTGTGTGTGTGTGTGTGTGTGTGTGTGTGTGTCTGCTGAGGGCCTGCCCCCAACCACACCTTGGAGGCTTGGAGCAGGCGCCCCTCTCTGTTGATCTCTCAGGCTCCTGGCCTCCACTGCATGTTGTACTCTCCCTTGAGCTGTGGCCAGGGTGGGGCGCCCTTTCCTGCTATGGGATTGCCATGGCGACCCACCGGCAGGTGCACGGGAGGCTGGCTAGAGGCCACCCTTCCCTGCTCCGTGATCGCCGTGGCGATCCCATGGGCAGGCACACAGGGGGGCTGGCTAGAGGCCGCTCTTTCCTGCTAGGGGATTGCAGTGGCGGCCTGGGTCAGGCGCACACAGGGCTGGCTGCAGGCCCCCCTTTCCTGCTGTGGGATCGCATCGGCGATCCCATGGGCAGGCAGGTGCACAGGGGGGCTGGCTTCAGGCCGCCCTTTCCTGCTGTGGGATCTCTGGTTGCTCATCCCTGGCAGGGGCGGCCAGGGAAGAGGCGGGCGCCCGCCTCTTCCCTGCCCCCCTCTGACTTCTCCGATCACCGGCAGGGGGGTGGGCAAAGGCGGCCGGTTCTCCGATCCAGGGCCAGGGGCAGTGCCTCCTGGCTCTTGCCTGCCGACTGTGTTTCCAATCACCGTCCTTCCCCTATGGCCTCCCATCATTGCGCCTATATATGCAAATTAACCGCCATCTTTGTTGGCGGTTAACCACCATCTTTGTTGGCAGTTAATTTGCATATCACCCTAATTAGCCAATGGGAAGGGTAGCGAAGTTACGGTTAATTATCATGTTTGTCTATTATTAGATAGGATTGTCTTGTTGTAAAGGGGTGGCATTATTAAGGGATAGCGTTACACTGTTTTTAGAGTTTCTATGTGGCAGGAAATGTAGTGAGTTACATGGGTACTTGATAAATACTTAGGTATTGACTGAAGAGTCATGAAACTATATTCTTAGACAAATTTCTCTTAACTTTGCATTAATTCTTATTCTCCCACCCTTGTTTGACTCTTCCAGATTTATTTAAGTATTATAAGATAGTAAGGTAATTTTATAAGATTTTTTCCTTAAAAATTTTATTCCTTATTTTTTTTTATTTCTGTTGCAGTGAGTAGTTGATTTCTAATACACTTTGTCACTATTTTAACACAAACTATATAAACCTGTGTTTTTATTATTGATAAGGAACATGAGCTAAGCAAGGCTGAGAAAAACAGTAATGTAGAAACTCTAAAAACAGAAGTAATAAGTCTTCAGAATGAGAAAGCAGACCTAGACAGGACCCTGCGTAAACTGGACCAGGAGATGGAGCAGTTAAACCATCATACAGCAACACGCACCCAGATGGAGATGCTGACCAAAGACAAAGTATGACCTTTCTTTTTATTTTAATTACGAGAGGGCTCGTGCATTGGTGGGATCCCTCAGCTTGGCCTGTGGACATCCCCTGAGGGGTCCCGGATTGTGAGAGGGCACAGGCCAGGCCAAGGGACCCCACTGATGCATGATCGGGGCTGGGGAGGAACCGTGGGAGGTCTGCAGGGCGTTTCTGGCCCGTCTCGCCCAATCGTGATTGGTGGCGGCCAGGGAGGGACTGCAGAAGGGCTCCAGAGTGTGTCCGGCCCCTCTTGCCCAGTCCCGCCTAGATTGGGGCCTGGAAGGGGCTGTGGGAGGGCTCCAGGGCGTGTCTGGCCCTCTTGCCCAGTCCCAGTCAGCCAGACCCCACCAGCAAGCTAACCTACCAGTCGGAGCTTCTGCCCCTGGTGGTCATTGCACATCATAGCGACTTGTCGAATGGTCAGACACTTAGCATATTAGGCTTTTATTATATAGGATAATTTTTGGTATTTTTAATAGTTTATCTTATTATGAAGAAGTTGGTCGTTATTGGCTTTATATTTTAGGGGCTAACTGAGCTTAATACTATAAAAATAGACTTTCAAGTTTAAAAACTATTTTCTAATTACAAGAAACTAATACAGAGGTGTATAGATACTAGTAAATACCATACATTGCTGTTAAATTTTATATCTTATGCAGAAGTTTTAATTTTTATATTATCAGACTTGTTACTCTTTTATGGCTTAGGAAGGTCATCCCCACTCTTAGACTTTAGGAAATTATATATTCTCTTCTTACATTTTTATAGTTTTACTTTCTAAGCCTAGAACTTTAACAAATCTAAAATTTATATTTGTTCTTGACATAATGTGGAGATACTGAGCTTTATTTTTAAAATATTTTTTAATAGGCTGACAAAGATGAACAAATCAGAAAAATAAAGTCTAGACACAGTGATGAATTAAATTCATTATTAGGGTATTTTCCCAACAAAAAACAACTTGAAGACTGGCTTCATAGTAAATCAAGAGAAATTAATCAGACCAGGGACAGGCTTGCCAAATTGAAGTAAGTAATAGAAATCTCTTATTTCTTGCATTAATTTTTAATTGTTCTAAAATAATTTGTCATGAAAAGGTAAGTCTTATTAATCGATTTTGGTTCTACATTTTATGAATTTAAGTAAAATGGTAATAGTGATTTGGGATCTCTTGTTCCTTGAAAGTTTGTAGAATTAACTGAGAGGATTAAAAGTCTCCTTTATAAAAAAAGTGAGACCTGAAACTATAAAACACCTAGAAGGAAACTTAAGAGGAAAAGCTTTATTATATTGAAATGGCAATCATTTCTTGCATATGACAACAAAAGCAAAATAGACAAATGAGGCTACATCAAGCTTTAAAACTTCTACACAGCAAAAGAAACATTAGACAGGGAAAAGGCAGCCTATAAAATGGGAGAAAATGTTTGCAAATCGTGTATCTAATAAGGGGTTAATATCCAGAATATATAAACTCCTACTACTCAACAACAACAAAATAACTGGATTTTAAAAATGGGCAAAGGCCCTAGCCAGTTTGGCTCAATGGATAGAGTGTTGGCCTGCTGACCAAAGGGTCCTGGGTTCACCCCCCCTGGGCCCTAGGGCATGTGTGGGAGGCAACAAATCGATGTGTTTCTCTCGCATCGATATTTCTCTCTGTCTTTCCCTCTCTCTTCCACTCTCAAAAAATCAATAGAAAAATGACTTCAGGTGAGGATTAAAAAAAAAAAGGGCAAAGGACTTGAATAGATAATTCTCCAAAGAAGATATACAAATGGCCAATGAACATGTGAAAAGATGCCCAACATCACTAGTCATCAGGGAAATGCAGATTAAAACCACATCACTTCAGCCCTAGCCGGTTTGCTCAGTGGATAGTGTCAGCCTGCAGACTGAAGGGTCCCGGGTTTAATTCCGGTCATGGTCACATGCCCAGGTTGCTGGTTCAGTCCCCAGTAGCGGGTGTGCAGGAAGCAGCCAATCAATGATTCTCTCTCATCATTGATGTTTCGATCTTTCTCTCCCTCTCCCTCCCTCTCTGAAATCAGCAACAACAACAACAAAAACCCACATCACTTCACACTGGTTAGGATGTCCAATATCAAAAACGCAGAAAATAACAGGTGTTGGTAAGAATGTTGAGAAATTGGAACCCTTAGGCACTGTTGGTGGGAATGCAAAATGGTGCAGTTGCATATAGAAAACAATGGGAAGTATCAAGATGAAGCAGGTGTGCACTCACACATGTTTATCTGAAACAGATTTCTCAAAATAGTACCTGTCCTACCTATGTACAGTCTACTCCGATAGATTCTGTTGTTTCATTTTGTTAAAATATGCTGAGATGATCCATTGAATTGATTATATGATTTGCCTCACAACCTGCAAATTAAAAAACCCTAATCTGTATGGGCATGGAGATTGACTAGGGTGAAATTTAAGAGTTGGAATGGAGATAAATTGTACTAGTGAGCAAAGTCTTTGATGAATGAGAAGAAATGAATGATCTTAAGTAGATGATAACAATAAAGAGGGGACAAAGGAAAAGTTTACAGGAAAGGAAGGGAAGGAATATTGTGAATGGGCCCGAAGGGGATTAGGATGTTTGCCCCGCTTCCCTTCCTCCAGTAGATCCAGCAAGCACATTCTCCTTGCAAAGGCTCTTAAGCTGAGATCTGAGGCCATGAATTCCCAGAAACCAGGCAGAATTTCGCTGATATTACACATTTTTCTGGGACCGGGCCCATGACTACTGATGGCAAGTGAGTTGGTATCTGAGTGGGAGAGTTCAGGTGGAAGTGACAATTGCCTGGACTTCTAAAAAAAGTACTTGGCCATAGCAAACTTTTTAATATTTGTTGGCAGAATTTGTCTTATACCTATTCAAACTTTTCAAACTAATTTCTCATGTTCTAAAATGGTAATTCATATTTTTCTTATTTTATAGCAAGGAACTGGCTTCAGCTGAGCAAAATAAAAATCATATAAATATTGAGCTAAAAAGGAAGGAGGAGCAGTTATCCAGTTATGAAGACAAGCTGTTTGATGTTTGTGGTAGCCAGGATTTTGAAAGTGATTTAGGCAGGCTTAAAGAAGAAATTGAAAAATCTTCAAAACAACGAGGTAAGTTACCTGCTTTATATTATCGAGTCACTGTGACACATGAATTTTCATTGACAGGTAACTAAGGATGGGAGATTTAAAAACTTGGTTCTGGATCCAGTTGGCTTAAGTTTTGATCCTGGTTCTATAACTTAACTTGCTGTGTGACTTTGTGCAAATTATTGAATCTTCCTATACTTCAGATTCATTGTCTGAGGACATAATTACCTACCACCTAGGACCGTGGCTGGCAAACTGCGGCTCGTGAGCCACATGCGGCTCTTTGGCCCCTTGAGTGTGGCTTTTCCACAAAATATCACGTGTAGGCTCGTGTACAGTGCGGTTGAAACTTCGTGGCCCATGCACAGAAGTCGGTTTTCAGCCTGGGCGAGTCTATTTTGAAGAAGTACTGTTGATATTTGGCTCTGTTGACTAATGAGTTTGCCAACCACTGACCTAGGCCGTTAGGGAGGAGTAAATGAGATTTTAGGTATAAAACTTAGAACAGTTCTTGGAACATAATAAGCTCTAAAATTTATTGTACTTTTATGTGTTATCCAAAAGACAAATCTGAATGTATTGTGGGAGCCAGAATTTTGAAAGTGATTTAGATAGAGGTTTTCAAGAAGAAATTGAAAAATTTGTAGGAATATTTAAATATCAGAATTTAAAATTTTTTAATAATGTGTTTATAAAGCAAGAAGAATAATCATATATTTACAGAGGAGGATGTAACCATATTGACAAAACTATATTTTCTCCTGACTGGAAATACTTATTTTCTTAAAACAGCCATGCTGGCTGGAGCTACGGCCGTGTACTCCCAATTCATCACTCAGCTGACGGATGAAAGCCAGTCCTGCTGCCCCGTCTGTCAGAGAGTTTTTCAGACAGAAGCTGAATTACAAGAAGTCATCAGTGATTTGCAGTCTAAGCTGCGGCTGGCTCCAGACAAACTCAAGTCAACAGAATCAGAGCTAAAGAAAAAAGAGAAGCGGCGTGATGAAATGCTGGGGCTTGTGCCCATGAGGTGAGACGAGGGGTTTACCGTTACGTACGTGTAGCAGCAGCAGCAGCCCGGTAGAAGGTACTGGCCTAGTGCCTGGCATGTGGTAGCGCCTCAGTAGCATGTCTCGAATGAATAAAAGTTGAAGTCAGGATCCTAAGCCAGTATGCCCCGTCTCATGTTAGTTACATGACAAGAAGAAACAATGATTTTCTTCCTGTTTCCTTTTTTGTTTTCTTCTAAAGGTAAATTTGCTTCTTAATCTAGTTACAGGGCAGACAGATACAATCTGTGTCTGTGTTAATTGAATTCCTCAGATTTGGTTTGAGGGCAGAAATTTTGACAGATTTAGAACTGTTTGCTGATATTTAACTTTGTAAACCCAGCAAAAGAATTAAATTACTGAAAAGCTCTCTCAGCAGACAAATTTTAAACTGTATTACGGCCCTGGCTGGTGTGGCTCAGTTGGTTGGGTGTCATCCCTTGCACCGAAAGGTTGCTGGTTTGATTCCCGTTCAGGGCACATGCCTGGGTTGCGGGCTCAATCCCTGGCAGGGATCGTGCAGGAGTGTCACACTGATGTTTCTTCCTCTCTCTCCCGGTCTCTCTAAAAATCAATAAAATATAAGAAACTGTATTATGTCTTTCCCACTCTAAAAAGGAATGAATCCTAAATGATTTCTAGTGTTCATTTTTCCCTTGCTTGTGCAAGAAATTCAAATGATAGTCTATAAATCAAATCAGAAAGTATGTGATGATTGCCTTGTCTCCCAGAACAGAGCACAGAGCTGGTCAGAGAAACCAATGACATGACCCTCAAGGAGCTGATGTCCCAAGAAAGGAAACAAGCATTCAGAATTAGATAAAGTGCTTAGTTAGTTCAAACAAATGCATTATTTAAGAAGAGAGAAGCCAGTGGACTACAGAGTGAGAATAGAATTTATAAAGAACAAGGTAGGAGGGAGAATGTAATTTGCACAAAGTCACACAGGGAAACTGGTTAAACTCAGTTAAGAAAAGGAAAGGGGAGAGGGAATTGAGAACATTGTGTATAAAAGGATGGAGAACATGACCTGTGCTGCAATAGAAGCATTGGAGTTTAGGGAGTTACTTATAGGGATTGATTCCCATAAATTGGGAAGATGGGACTAGATTATGTTCAGTTCTAGTTATAGCTGTCTCTGATGGGGAGCCATTCTGAGGGATTTAATCAACAATGTGTTTTAGGAAAATTGATCTAATATTAATGTATTGAATAGATGAGAGTGAAAAAAAACAACAACAAAAAACTCTGGAAGCAGAAAAACCAAGAGGGTCTGTTGTCCTGGAAAACCAAAGAGGAATTTCAGGAAAAGCAGGAAAGGTTGAGAAAAACCAAGATGGCGGCATAGGTTAATGCCGGAGATTGCTGCCTCGAACAACCACTTCAAAAAACAACTAAAGACGGAACAGACATCATCCAGAACCACAGGAAGGCTGGCTGAGTGGAAATTCTACAACTAGGAGGAAAGAGAATATCATACCCAGACTCAGAGGAGGCGCAGTGCTGAAGTGAAATACTGAGGTGCGGAGTGCGCACCGAGCGGGCTGGCGGCGGAGGGCTCGGTTGTTGTTTTCAATCGGGAGGGAGTTTCAGACTCTGAGCTCCAGATCCAGGCGAGTCTCTAGGGACCCAGACTCAAACGGGAGAAGCGGGACTGTCTGGCTTCGGTCAGAAATCGAAGGCAGCTTTCTCTCCGAGGTTTGCAGCGGTTGCTGGGACTCTGTGAGGCAGAGCCCCTAGGGACAGGACTGAGAGCAGCCATAACTGCTTGCTCCACCCGCCCTGTAGATCCCCAGGGACCCGCCCCGCCCAAGCCCTGCGCAGAGCCATTTGCCGAATAGCCTCAGGCAAATGCTAGATTACCACTGCCCTAGAGATCCAGCACAGAAGCTCTCCCACTGCAGACACAGCGGACTCTCATAGCCAGTTAGCCTGGAGGTCAAATCACCCCCACTATTGCCGACAACAATCAAGGCTTAACTACAACAAGACTGCGCACAAAGACCACTAGGGGGTGCACCAAGAAAGCATAAAAAATGCGGAGACAAAGAAACAGGACAAAATTGTCCATGGAGGATATAGAGTTCAGAACCACACTTTTAAGGTCTCTCAAGAACTGTTTAGAAGCCACCGATAAATGTAGTGAGATCCTCAAGAAATCTAATGAGACCCTCGATGCTGTGATAAAGAACCAACTAGAAATTAAGCATACACTGACTGAAATAAAGAATATTATACAGACACCCAACAGCAGACCAGAGGAGCGCAAGAATCAACTCAAAGATTCGAAATGCGAAGAAGCAAAAAACACCCAACCGGAAAAGCAAAATGAAAAAAGAATCCAAAAATACGAAGATAGTGTAAGGAGCCTCTGGGACAGCTTCAAGCGTACCAACATCAGAATTATAGGGGCGCCAGAAGATGAGAGAGAGCAAGATATTGAAAACCTATTTGAAGAAATAATGACAGAAAACTTCCCCCACCTGGTGAAAGAAATAGACTTACAGGTCCAGGAAGCGCAGAGAACCCCAAACAAAAGGAATCCAAAGAGGACCACACCAAGACACATCATAATTAAAATGCCAAGAGCAGAACACAAAGAGAGAATCTTAAAAGCAGCAAGAGAAAGAAACCCAGTTACCTACAAGGGAATACCCATATGACTGTCAGCTGATTTCTCAACAGAAACTTTGCAGGCCAGAAGGGAATGGCAAGAAATATTCAAAGTGATGAATACCAAGAACCTACAACCAAGATTACTTTATCCAGCAAAGCTATCATTCAGAACTGAAGGTCAGATAAAGAGCTTCATAGATAAGGAAAAGCTAAAGGAGTTCATCACCACCAAACCAGTATTATATGAAATGCTGAAAGGTATCCTTTAAGAAGAGGAAGAAGAAGAAAAAGGTAAAGATACAAATTATGAACAACAAACATGCATCTATCAACAAGTGAATCTAAGAATCAAGTGAATAAATAATCTGGTGATCATAATAGAATCAGGGACATAGAAAGGGAATGGACTGACTATTCTTAGGGGGGAAAGGGGTGTGGGAGATGCGGGAAGAGACTGGACAAAAATCGTGCACCTATGGATGAGGACAGTGGGTGGGGAGTGAGGGCGGAGGGTGGGGCAGGAACTGGGAGGAGGGGAGTTATGGGTGGGAAAAAGAGGAACAAATGTAATAATCTGAACAATAAAGATTTAATTTAAAAAAAATTTTTAAAAAAATTAAAAAAAAAAAAAGGCAGGAAAGGTTTAAGAAGATGTACTTTGTGGTAGCCAGCCTCCATGATGGCCCCCAATGATCCTGGCTTTCACAGTCTTGTTCCAGGATTGGTCTGTGTGACCAAGCAAATACGACAGAAGTGATAACATGTCCCTTCTAGGACTCGGTTATATAAGGCACTCAAGCTTCCTGCTCTCCTTTTTTCTCTCCTGGATCATCTGGATCTCGGGAAAGCCAGTTGTCATGTGGTGAGCAGAGCAGGGACCCACTTGGTGAGGACTTAAGGCCTTTGAACAACCAATTGAGTGAGGGTACCATTTGGAAACATATTCTCTAGCAGTCACTCCTTGAGTGACTGTAGCCCTGGCCTTCAGCTTGAGTGCAACTTCAACAAGAAACCCAAATCAGAAGTATCCAGATAGCTGCTCCTGATTGTCTTACTGTGAGAAATAAGTGCTGTCATTTTAAGCAGCTAAATTTTGGGCTGTTTTGTTTTGCAGCAGTAAATAATATAATTATCAAGGTGAAACCAGATTATTGCCGGCTATAGAGAGAATGTGATAGGAGACAAAGGCAGTAGTTTGAGAATGAAAAGGAAGAGGAATAAGGCAGTATCTTGAGAAGAAAAAGATCAAATAAAAGATAAAATTTAAAGTTGATAGAAATTGCATGTCAAGGAAATTTGAGCTTAGTTCTGTGTCATACTGATATACTATAAATAGCAGAAATCAACATTGTGTTATATTTTGGGGCTCTTGCCATCACAGCTCCCATTTTCAGAGTAAGGTACTTGGTGCCTACCTTTTTCAATGTTGTAGTTTCATAATTCTTTGTGTATTGTAACTTTTGTGACCCATAGTTTTCAGTGTGAATTTTGTCTACACTTCTTCTCTATTAAACCATAAAAGTGTTTAATAAAATAATGAGAGTGAAAAAATAATATATATGTGGGGCTAGTACCTGCCATATTAGCTAGAGAAGCAACAGTAGGCTGGACTGACAGCTTTTGTACCTAAAACTCATGTAGCATTTGGCTGAGTGGTTGTTTGCTTTCCTTCTTTCCATCATTTTTTTAAACCTTTTATTTTGAAAAAAATTTTAGACTTATAGGAAAATTACAAAAATAGTACAGAGAATTTACATATACCCTTCACCTAGCTTCTCGTGATGATCAGAATTTATGTAACCATAATTAACATTGATAAAATGCTATTACCTAAATTACCATATTTGAATTTCAGCAGTCTTTCCATTAATGTCCTTTTTTGTTTCAGGATCCAAACCTGGATTCCACATTGCATGTAGTTCTTATTTCTCCTTAGGCTACTGTGGTCTGTAACATTCTTCAGTCTTTGTCTTTCATGGCCTTGATACTTCTAATGAGTATGATCGGTTAATTTGTAGAATATGTTTGACAAACAGCACAGTAATAATTGTTGCAAGCAACATCTAGCAATGGATAGTAAAATCAATGGGCAGAAGTTTGAGGAGAAACAGGATATTTACAGTCTCAGTGTATCTCTCCTAAGTATTAACTACAAAAAGGGAAATAATTACTTTACAATGGATGGATCTGGCTAACACCATCTTAACCAAGTGAATAAGTTTAACATCTCCAGTAATAAGACATACTGACATGTACCCATCGATATGATGCCCTGAGAAGGATACATGATACCACTTTTATATTATTGCCAAAAAATACATAACCTCAATCTCACGATGAGAAAACATTAGATAGCTTATTTTTAATTGTGTGTTTTCTGTTAAGGCAAAGCATAATTGATTTGAAAGAGAAGGAAATACCAGAATTAAGAAACAAACTGCAGAATGTCAATAGAGATATACAGCGCCTGAAGAATGACATAGAAGAACAGGAAACACTCTTGGGTACAATAATGCCTGAAGAAGAAAGTGCCAAAGTGTGTCTCACAGATGTTACAATTATGGAGAGATTTCAGGTATGCTGATTGTAGTTAAAACTACAAAAAACTTATAGCGAGGCAGCAAAAAACTTGTTTCATGGTGGTTTGAATGTGAAGTGTGAGAGTGTTAAAAACAGTAGCTGGTGTTCAGGTACACATCATGGTTAGAGTTCCCCATTCTGAATTATTTATAAACTAGAGGCCCAGTGCACAAATTTGTGCATAGGTGGAGTCTGCCGGCCGGCTGGCCGGCAGGGAGAGGCCATGGGCAATTGGCAGGCCAGCCCCATCCATGGTCGAACTCACAGTCAAGGGGACAATTTGCATATTAGCTTTTTATTATATAGGATCATGAAAAATAGTCCTGTTTGTTTCCATTTTCAGTCTGCTGCCTTTTGCTTATATCATTGAAATTATTTAAAATTAATTTTATTTCTTCCTATCAAATTTTGTTCAAATGATATATGAAAGCAGTTGTAAATTGCAGTAAATTTCTTAAAAGAAATAACTTTGTTTTATTCTTAAGATGGAACTTAAAGATGTTGAAAGGAAAATTGCACAACAAGCAGCTAAGCTACAAGGACTAGACTTAGATAGAACTCTTCAACAAGTAAACCAAGAAAAACAAGAAAAACAACACAAATTAGATACAGGTAATATAGCCCGTTTCCTCATATTCCCATTAAAGACATCAACATCCCAGCTTTTGCTTTTCACCTAAATTTTACACCTGTTATGTGGATAAGAACTGTCTTTCCTCCTTCCAATCCACAGTATATTCACTTACTTTTTTCAGAAGTATCACTTCTGTTTCCTTGCTTTGTACAACAGATTTTGAATGATGAGTATCAAGTGAGCTGTACTCTTTCTCAATCATACCTGCCCTGTGAGTGGCCAGGAGGGGACAGAAAGATGGTTTGGGGCTCGAGGGTTCTAGTGGCACTTTTGTTGCTGTGGGTGGGACCCGTAGAAACTTGCCTTTGTGAATTCCATAGACCTATAACACTGGAAGGATGCTGCTCAGAGCATTTTCTATACTCTTACATTAATCACTGTGTCCATATGTTTTTGTGCAGTTTCCAGTAAGATTGAATTGAATCGTAAGCTTATACAGGACCAGCAAGAACAGATTCAACACCTAAGAGGTTTAACAAATGAACTTAAATCAGAAAAACTTCAGATATCCACTAATTTACAACGTCGTCAGCAACTGGAGGAGCAGACTGTGGAATTATCCACTGAAGTTCAGTCCTTATACAGAGAGATAAAGGTAAGAACATTTGTATGTCTTTAATTACTTCAAATGTATGAAATGTTCTTTATTGGTATAGTAGCTAGAATTATGGATATTGTGAAGATAAAATGAAAATGGCATAATAATTCTTTGTGTGGCTCCTGGGTGACAGAACTTGTACTCATAGTACTAAAGATGTCTGGAAGAAGAATTTTGGTCATAATAAGGAAGAATTGGCTGCCTGGTTAACTTAGTAGAGAATGTCTTGTTATTGGAGGTGGTCAGGTGGTGGGTAACTAACTCCATGTAAGTATTCCTCCATGTGAAGTTCGTCTTAATTCTATATCCACGGCCAACACTGCCTTAGTCATAGCACTTTCTCTATCTGATTTGAGATGTAGTCTTGGAATTCTTCCCCAAACAGTGAACATGGGGAATTGATTTGTCACATGAAATGGAACCCATTTGGAATCCTTCATCTCGATTAATAAAATCTAAAACCCAACCAATTAAGTTTTTAAACAGTTTTAGAAACAACAATCTCATTTAGGTTTTTATAATTAGACACATTCAGTAAGCACTAAATATATTATTGAGCCCTGCCTAGTTTGGCTCAGTGGATAGAGCATTGGCTTGCGGACCGAAGGGCCCCAGGATAGATTCCAGCTAAGGGTACATTGTGGGCGGCAGCCAATCAATGATTCCTTCTCATCATTGATGTTTCTATTTCACTCTTCCTCTCCCTTCCTTTCTGAAGTCAATAAAAAAATATATTTAAAAAAATATATATATATAAATATATATATATATATATATATATATTATTGAATCTATAGTTACTGTGTTTCTTAAGTATTTTGGATTACAAATTATCAGAGGCTTATAGTATATCAAATAGTACTACCATACATTTATATAATATTTTAGTGTTTATAAAGTAATTTGACAATAAGCCATTTAGGTCTAAGTAACCCTGTTGAGATATGTGACTAAATCCCCTATTATAGAAAAAGAAATTGAGACTTTTAGATGTCCCATAACTTACCCATGTTCATGGAGCTAGTAAGAGGCAGGTTAATTTCAGATGTTAGGTCTACAGACATCAAAGACATTTGACTTCCCACCAGTGATGGCGAACCTTTTGAGCTCGGCGTGTCAGCATTTTGAAAAACCCTAACTTAACTCTGGTGCCATGTCACATATAGAAATTTTTTGATATTTGCAACCATAGTAAAACAAAGACATATTTTTGATATTTATTTTATATATTTAAATGCCATTTAACAAAGAAAAATCAACCAAAAAAATGAGTTCGCGTGTCACCTCTGACACGTGTGTCATAGGTTCGCCATCACTGCACTACACCATACCACTTCCCAATATGATAAAATACACCTGTGTTGAAGTAATACTACATAGTCATTTCTACTTTTGTGGATTCATTATATATTTCAGGATCTTAAAATACTTAAGGATCATTGTTTTTTAACAGGGGTTATCATATAATTATGCTGTAGATATGTTACAAGGCCAAATAATGCAGACTTTTGATTAGTAAACTAGTTTGTTACTTGAAAGCCCTTTTCCTACCAAAATAGGTGTGGACACATCAGTGATATCAGTGTGTACAGTACACTTTTGTTACCATAAACAATCTACTTAATCTTACTTAGCAAAATAAGCTTAAGGACAAATGTGTCCTTTACAATCATATTCCTGTCTGTAAGAGGAATGCCGCCTGTCTGGAGCGAATGAACTTTGCCATTTTTTGGTGACACAGTTGGCATGAGCCCCTGCAGACTCCTAAAAACTTATACCTGAAGCCGGTCGTTCATATAGTTGGGAGTGCATGGTGTAGTTTAAGAATCAAGACAATGGCTGTAGCAGTATAGCATAGTGGCTCACAGAGACTCGAGCTGGATGGGATTTGACTCCTGGCTCCTTTATTTACTGGCTGTTGTGATCCTGGACAAGTCATTTCTATGCCTATTTACTCATCTGAAATATGGGATGAAAATAATGGTACTTCCTCATAGGGTTGTTAGAAGAGGCAAATGAATTTCTTTTTAAAGCCTGGCACATAAGAGAGTGCTTGTATGACTGTAAAGTCTGACCCTAAAATAATGGAATGTTTTTTGTTTTTAGGATGCTAAAGAGCAGATAAGCCCTTTGGAAATAACACTGGAAAAGTTCCAGCAGGAGAAAGAAGAATTAATCTTCAAAAAAAATACAAGCCACAAAATAACACAGGATAAAGTAATATTTCCTTTCTATATTTACTTACCAATATATATATATTAAACATAATGTTCAGAGCACCATATTGGGCATTATTACTTCCCATGAAATTAAAAGTACAAGATAAATAGTATTTTCAGATTTGTGACATAATCTTGATATTAAAAATTCTTGTTAAAATAAGGATTAAACTTGTAACTAGTTTCTTGATCTATCATAGAAGCTGAGAAGTAAGACTATTTAATCCAATTCCATACATGATAAAGGGAATTATCTGAGATAATAAAATGTGCTGGTGATGAAAACTAGAACCCAAAGCTCCTAACTTTCAAGCCAATGTTTCACTGTGCTCTCCTATTAAGTTTTTGTTACCTTAATATACGAGGTGTACCGGTTAAAAATGCAGATTTTGTAATCAAAGGAAACACAATAATTTCAAGAGAAACATCAAAAGTGCTTCATTCAAAGTAATGTCCATCTCTAGCTACACATTTCCCCCATCTTTCAGGTTAATTTTTGGATACTGTCCCAATAGAACTTTTCTTGTTTTGAGGCAAACCATTCAGACATCCAGTTTTCCACTTCTTTGTACGTTTTGAAGTGCTGCTCAGAAAGTGCGTGTGCCATCGATGGAAACAAGTGGTAATCTGAAGGAGCAAGGTCTGGTGAATACAGCGGGTGGGTTAATACTTCTCAGGCAAGATCTTTAACATGTCTTTAACTGGTTTTGAAGTGTGTGATGGTGTGTCATGATGAAACAAAATTACTTTGCCGTGTCTTCTGGCCAATTCTGGTCATTTCACGATCAAAGCGTGGTTCAAATTGATTATTTGTTGTCAGTAGCGATCAGTATTAATGGTTTCACCTGGTTTTAGAAGCTCATAATACACCACACCTTCCTGATCCCACCAAATGCAGAGCATTGTCTTCGTTCAGAAGCGATTTGGCCTTGCAGTCGATGTTGATAGTTGACCTGGATCAGCCCATGATTTTGTGCACTTGGGATTTTCAAAATAAATCCACTTTTCATCGCCAGTCACAATTCCATGCAAAAAAGACTTTCTTTCGTGCCGTTGAAGCAACATTTTACTAATGACTTTTCGGTTTTCCATTTGTCTTTTGTTCAGTTGATATGGCACCCATTTTCCTTCCTTTAAAATCTTTCCCATTGCTTGTAAACGATTGGAAATTATTTGCTGAGCAACGTTTAATCTTTCTGCAAGTTGTTTTTGAGTTTTACATGCATCTTCATCCAATAATGCTTGTAATTGTTGGTCTTCAAACTTTTTCGGTTGACCTGGACGTTCTTTGTCTTTCACATCAAAATCATCACTTTTAAAGCGTTTAAATCAGCGTTCACAAGTATCTTGAAATGGAGCATGTTCACCATAATCTTCCCAAAGTATACAATAACTTTTTCTTCAAAATAATGAATTAAAACTTCCCGCAAATGCTCATTTTTAAGTGTAAAAATATCTATGATATTAACACCTTCAGCAAATTTGACATACAAGTTTTGAAGCTTGCTGTCAATACAACAAAATAGCATACATATCAAATCGCATATATATCAACATATGTGTAACTCCATCTATTGAAAAAAATCCTCATTATTAACTGGTACACCTAGTATTTCCTTGGAAATAAATCTTAAATGCTCTGGTCCTCAATCAATGTGTTTAATAACTTTTTTTACAGATGAATGATATCAAAGAGAAGGTTAAAAATATTCACGGCTATGTGAAAAACATTGAGAATTATATTCAAGATGGGAAAGACGACTATAAGAAGGTAATTTAAAACTTAAATCTTATTTATTTATAGTTTTATTTCTTGTGCTTAAAGAAATTTTGTCCCTCCAACCTCAGAGAGAAAGCGTGGGGGCCGGGGCGTAAGAGATCAATCGAAGGACGTGTATGCAAGCATATTAGCATAACTAATGGACACGGACACTGGGGCGGTGGGGGCTTGTCCTGGGTGCGGGAGTGTGGTGGAGGGGTCAATCGGGGGGAAAAGGAGACATATGTAATACTTGAACAATTAAAAAAAATTTTCTTTTTTATAGCAAAAAGAAACTGAACTTAATAAAGTAATAGCTCAACTAAGTGAAAGCGAGAAACACAAAGAAAAGATAAATACCGATATGGGAATCATGAGACAAGATATTGATACACAGAAAGTAAGTCTTCTTTGTGTCTTAATGGTATCACTTATACCAGTGGTCGGCAAACTCATTAGTCAACAGAGCCAAATACCAACAGTACAACGATTGAAATTTCTTTTGAGAGCCAAATTTTTTAAACTTAAACTATATAGGTAGGTACATTGTTATTAACTGAATTAGGGTACTCCCAAGCTGGCCTTTGCTAAAAACGTCCTCAATCTGAGGGGTCAAGGTCAACCTCAGTGAATGTACCCCCACTTCTTCTAACGCCACTTCTTCAAAATAGACTCGCCCAGGCCGAAAACCAACTTCTGCGCATAGGCCACGAAGTTTCAATCGCACTGTACGTGCGCGGCCGCACGTGGTATTTTGTGGAAGAGCCATACTTAAGGGGCCAAACAGCCTCATGTGACTCGTGAGCCGCGGTTTGCCGACCACTGACTTATACCAATAACATTTTTTAAAACTTTTATGTTCAATAGATCCATATAGTAGAGAATATCAGTTTTTTAAAAATGAAGTTTTTATGCAGTATTGAAAGCCAATTCCAGTGTTATGTAATACTAGATAAAAGAAAGCAATAGCATAGTCTCTTGTTCCTAATAAGGAAAAAGTACACAGATAGTCTCCCATGGAAGGATCTTGGAGTGTCACAGCAGCTGCAGTGGTGCATTAAGTTGCCTTGGCAGCAAAAGGACAGTTACAACCATATCATGGTAGTCACTTTTAACTGCTTATAATGATATCTGTAATAGATAAGTATATATTTATTTTATCATTACCAGGAAAACTGATGACAGTTGGGGGAAAAACCCACAAAATAGTGATTTATAGATGGGCAGGGTTGGATATGAACACTAAACATGAGAGAAAAATCCTTCCATGCTTCTCTCCCACCTCCAAATTCATTTTCCCTGGTGACTCTCTGCTGTTATTGTTGGTTAATGAGATATTGCCAAAGATCTGCCTCTCCCTCCCACTTCCCACATGACTCTTGAGTTTATCTCAGCAGCTAGGGTCACTGAAGGAGGAACCTAGCTCCTTCTTTGAGAAGTCTTGACTTTGAACTTGTGATGAGTTTTCTATATTCAGGCTTTTATGGTCCAAACCAACATTGTTTCTACAGGATATTTTTTTCTCTAAATTTCAAAGAATCAACTTATAATGTTTATCTCACAATATAGTCCATTGTAATCACTGGGAAACCTACTGAAATAATTGTGTTGGCATTGCTGCTGCTGCTGCTAAGTGATTAGGTCTCTTTAAGGACAAAACTGCTCAATAAGAACAGCCAACTTTTTAAATTTTCAGTTCAATTCAATGTCCATGGAAGTCTCATCAAGTAAATATTTACTGTTTTTGTGGCACTTCTTACTGCCTTGTATAATTTATTTGTTAGCTTGAAGGTAAAGATCTTATCTGACATACTTAATAGAATCTAGCCCTAGCCAGTTTGGCTCAGTGGCTAGAGCGTCGGCCTGGGGACTGAAGGGTTCCAGGTTCAGTTCTGGCCAAGGGCACATGCCTGGGTTGTGGGCTCGATCCCCAGTAGGGGGCGTGCAGGAGGCAGCCAATCAATGATTCTCTCTCATCGATGTTTCTCTCCCTCTTCCCTCTCTGAAATCAATAAAGAAATATATTTTTTAAAAAAATAGAATCTAACAGTATTGGCACATAGGACAAAAATACAAGTAGGCAAAAAAATTGAGGGGGGACATTAATAGTAGTATTGCTAGCTTGTGATTTTTTTTTCAATCAGATTTTTTATTGTGGGGTTCCTGTGCAAGATGATCCAATGGGGTACAGGTATAAAATATTTAATTAGTTACAGTTGTTATTTCATTGTGTAAATTTCTGTTCTGGTTTATATGTGCAATCCAGGTTAGTCCAGGTTGTAGATTCCTTCACCCTGGCTTATTCTCCCTCTATTGAGTTTAACACGATTCTAAATAAGGCAGAATGAGTACTACCTGCCAGCAGTTGCCTGTTATGAATCACATGTTGGTAACTTGATCATTTTTTAACTGGTTTAATATTTACATTTAGATACAAGAAAGATGGCTGCAGGATAATCTTACGTTAAGAAAAAGAAATGAAGAATTAAAAGAAGTTGAAGAAGAAAGAAAACAACATTTGAAGGAAATGGGTCAAATGCAGGTCTTACAACTGAAAAAGTATGTTTTTTAAAAATAGTCTTTAGTTTAAATAAAGGACTATTATTGAATGTGAAGAATATTTAATATGTGTTTTTTTAAAAATGATTTAAGCCTTTAGCCTAAATGTCCCTTGAGACTTATAGGAAGTTTTTATACAAATATATTTCATGGCCTTATGAATTAAATTACTGAAGAGTGATATAAAATTTATAGTTACACTGCAGTGGTGGACAGAATTAAAAATGCCAAGTCCCCAGGTTTCTGTTAGTCTGCTTCACAAGATAATGGTACCGAACAAAAATAATATATGGCCTATGAACCCTGCCTGGGTCAGAGCTTGTGCAATTTATAATACTGCCAAAGTGATTTGACATTGGAGACCCATTTTAGATGGTCTTAGTTATAATTATACTAGAGGCCTGGTACACGAATTCGTGCATAGATGTGGTCCAGCCAGTCTGCCCCTATGGGTGCCCATCAGGATAGGCTGGCCAGGGGGAGGGACCGTGGTGGTTGGCTGGCTGGAGGGTTGGGGGTGGGGAGGATTGGGGCCAGGATCAGGCTGGTTAGCTGCCGCAATATGAGTCATAGCCACCAGTCGTTCTGGTTGTTCCGCCGTTCAGGTCGCTGGGCTTTTACTAGTATATATATAGATGACAACCAGGCAGATTTGTGTGGTTTTTTCTTAAGATTGTCCTGATTCTTCTTTCATCTGGTTTTATTGGTACTTACTGTAGTGTCTACCTTCCTGGTGCAGCAGAAAAGATTTTGTTCTTGCCTTGTCTGCCTTAGAGTCAGTTGCCTTAAGAATTCTGTAAGAACTCGGTTGATGCTAAGGCATTAGACTGGTATAAATGGCTATACTCACCAAATTGATTTTTTAACGGCCTCAGTTGATTAAATTTAGGTCTCTCATTCAGCCATTCCTTATAGATTTTTCATTTGTTTGACTTTACACAGAAATATGAATCAAAGAATGCTTTAGGTTTTCTAAAGTATATAGTAAACTGAAATTTTAATTTATAAAACACTACAAGTGGTTAACCCTGTTATTGGTTTAGCTGTTTAAAATCTCTTTCCTATAATGAGGAAATCAGACTTTTTAGCTGGAAGAGCTATTCATCTTTAGCTTCTTCATTTTTTATACATTAGGACATTGAGACTCAGGAAAAAAATTCACAGTAAATTTTGATGAAAGCCAGGAATGTGACTCAGATATCCTCACTCCCAAGCCTCAGCTCTTTAACGCTATAATGTTAGTGCTCCCGGTTGCAAGTTGGAAAAAATAAAGCTTTTAGAAGAAACTTTTAAATGAAACAATTTATTCTTTGCTACTGAAAGCAAAACCAGATTTTTTAAATATAATTCCTTCTGTGGTTGGTATATAACAATGCTTTTTAGATCCATTCAGTCTACTAAGTACAACTGCTATTTTGCAAACCTTTCTTCAACCAGAACACAACAGAAATATCAACAAAAGGACAATCAGGCCAATTCTGTAAGGATGTTTATAAACTTGACAGCAGTGCCGGGCACATAAGAGGGTGCTTAATAAGGAACTGTTAAATGAATGAAGATTTTTTAAATCATATATTAAAAACTGTATTATCTACTAAGTTTGGGTATTTTACTTTTTTTGGTCAGAATTATGCTTGTGTGAGAAATTTTTTCATAGAGGAATACAAACTTTTTTTTAGTAGGTGTTACTATAGAAATTAATAGTTTGAAATAAAATTATATTTGTCTTTGACAATGTGAACAAAATTATGACATCTGTCATTCAATAACTCCTCATTGTACACTCTCAGTTCACAGTCAGAAGTTTGTGAATTTCTAATATTAATCACTAAGAGTGCTTTATTTAGTGTCTAAAAGTCAGGAACTTTCTTATTGCTCACATGTTATGAGAGTTCTTTATTCAGCACACAAAAATTAACTGTTTAGAAACCTGGATGCTTCAGGAATTTGGAAGTAAGAAAATTTTCTTTTGTACTGAAGCCTTACATAAAAAGCAAGGAAAGACTCTGTTATCATATGCTGACTGCTAAGGAGAATGATAAATGATATTTCTCTCTAAAGAGATCTGGCTTTTCCACTTCAAGCTGCCAAAAGCTAAAAATGGTCCTCATTTGTCATTTTTCCCTTTCATAGTGAACATCAGAACTTGGAAGAAAAAATAGAAAATATAAAAACAAGTCACAGTTTGGCAATAGGGCGACAGAAGGGTTATGAGGAAGAAATTATTCACTTTAAGAAAGAACTTCGATCACCTCAGTTTCGAGATGCCGAGGAAAAGTATAGAGAAATGATGATTGTTATGAGAACAACAGAGCTTGTGAACAAGGATCTGGACATTTATTATAAGACCCTTGACCAGTAAGTATTGGATTGGGAATTTGGTCCCCATTGTAGTGAATATCAACTAGCATATTTTAGTCATATTTCCCTCTTTTTAATTATATGTCATACATGCCAAAGAATGGAAAATACATATATTTATGTGTATACAACAAATACTGAAGTTATAAAGGTAAGTTATAAAGCATATTAATACTAAGGAGTGGTCATGCTTCCCTCCTCACACACACCCAATCCAAGAACTCTACCATTGTCACTAACTGGCATCCTCTCAAATGCTCCTCTTTATCTCAGCCTCTGTCATCCCTACTCCCTGTAACCATTGGCACAGATTTTTGTTTTATATGCTTTAAAAAAAAATAATTTTATCATATGCATGTAATTTGAGCTTAAAAATATATTCTGTGTACTCTTCTAGGATTTGCTTTTTTTAAATTTTGTTTGCTTTTGCTTATGTTGCTTAGAGCTGTCATTCATTCATCTTCACTGATATATAGAATTCTATTGTGGGACTAGACCACTATGTATCCATTCTTCTGTAGATGGACATTCGGTTGCTTCCGGGTCTTCACTGATATCACCCTTCCTTGTTATGTGTTCTGGAGCAGAGGTGTAAGAGATTCCTTAGAGCAGTGGTCAGCAAACTGCGGCTCGCGAGCCACATGTGGCTCTTTGGCCCCTTGAGTGTGGCTCTTCCACAAAATACCCCGTGCGGGTGCACACGTACAGTGCGATTGAAACTTTGTGGCCCTTCGTGGCCCATGCGCAGAAGTCGGTATTTTGTGGAAGAGCCACACTTAAAGGGCCAAAGAGCCGCATGTGGCTCGCGAGCCAGTTTGCCAACCACTACCCTAGAGTATATGTGGGGTAAAGTTTCTGGGTTGCAGGATATGCTCAATTTTACAAAATAATGTTAAGTTTTTTGCCAAAGTTTTTTTACTAATTTGCACCACTAGCAGAATATAAGGATTTTTTTAAACACATTTTCTGACATTGATTTTTTTCAGTTTCTTAATTTTTGCCAATCTGAGTTTAAAATGTTAAATCATTGTGGTCTTCATCTGCAGTCCCCTGATTTCTAATATTGCTGAACGTCTTTTTCATGTTTGACCATTTTGCTTCATCTTTGAAATGTTTGTGTCTTCTACCTATATTTAATGTATTATTAGTTTTGGGTTTTTTTCCTTACTCCTCACATAAGGATATGTTTATTGATTTTAGAGAGAGAGGAAGGAAGAGAGAAATATTTCGTGGCCTCTCGTATGCTCCCCACCTGGGGCTCAAACCCACAGCCTAGGTATGCACCCCGATCAGGAATCGAACCCGCAACCTTTTGGTATATGGGACGATGCTTCAACCAATTAGGTCATCCAGCCAGGGCTTTCAGTCATCCGATTGATTTGAAGGTGTTCTTTATCTCTTCTGCATTTTAATTACTTTTAAGTTATATGTATTACAAATATTTTTTTCGAACTTTTCATGTTTATCTTTTCACTTTCTTATAGTGTCTTCTAGTGGACAGATTTGATTTTAGGGTCATTGAATTTACCAATCTTTTCTTTTTGGGTTAGCTCTTTTTTGTCTTGTTTAAGAAATCCTTCCCTACTTTTGTGTGTCCTTCTAAAAGTTTTAAAGTTTGTCTTTTCACATTTAAGTACATTTAAGTATATAATCCTAAATGGAACTTTATGTACAGCGTCAGGTAGGACTCCAGTATCACTTTTCCCCTTGTGGCCAACCAGTCGTCCTGGCTCTGTGTAGCGAGGAGCCTATCCTTTTCTTAATGATCTGCACTGTCACTTACGTCACACATCGGAATTCCATGTGTGTGTATGGGTCACTTCTGGGTTTTCCATCTGTTTCATTGGTCATTTTATCTATCTCTGTGCCATTGCCTAAACTGCCTTATTTCCTACATCTGCATAATATATTCAGCATATAACAGAATTTGGTTTTTTTTCTTTATTGATTAAGGTATTACATGTGTCCTTATCCCCCCATCCCCAACCCCCCCATAATTTTTTATTCAGTCTGACCATCTTGTTGTTTTCACTAGTGAATTTAGTTCTTTCAATTCACAAATTTGTTTCTGTCTTTTTTTTTCCTCTACTTTCTGCCTTCTGTGGAATTTTTCTTTATTTCTCTTTTCCCTTCTTTGGGTTGTAAATGATATATTCCACTTTAGTTATTAGGTGTTTACCTTTAAATTTTTAACATGCATATTTTAAAATCAGATACATTGATTCTTAAAGTGTTTCTGGAGCAGCATTATGAGTATCATCTTGGAACTTATTAGATAGGAAGGAGAGGTGGGGACTCAGTCGCACACCTACAGGGTGGAGATTATCAAAGATAGCTCAGCTTCCAAGGTCCTCCCTGAGGAGTGGGATATGAGAATGTGGAGAAAAAGAAGTTTTCCATCTGTTTCATTGGTCATTTTATCTATCTCTGTGCCATTGCCTAAACTGCCTTATTTCCTACATCTGCATAATATATTCAGCATATAACAGAATTTGGTTTTTTTTCTTTATTGATTAAGGTATTACATGTGTCCTTATCCCCCCATCCCCAACCCCCCCATAATTTTTTAGTCAGTCTGACCATCTTGTTGTTTTCACTAGTGAATTTAGTTCTTTCAATTCACAAATTTGTTTCTGTCTTTTTTTTTCCTCTACTTTCTGCCTTCTGTGGAATTTTTCTTTATTTCTCTTTTCCCTTCTTTGGGTTGTAAATGATATATTCCACTTTAGTTATTAGGTGTTTACCTTTAAATTTTTAACATGCATATTTTAAAATCAGATACATTGATTCTTAAAGTGTTTCTGGAGCAGCATTATGAGTATCATCTTGGAACTTATTAGATAGGAAGGAGAGGTGGGGACTCAGTCGCACACCTACAGGGTGGAGATTATCAAAGATAGCTCAGCTTCCAAGGTCCTCCCTGAGGAGTGGGATATGAGAATGTGGAGAAAAAGAAACCCTCCTGCCTTTTAGGTGGGATTGCAAATTGGTGCAGCCACCGTGGAAAACAGCATGGAGGCTCCTCACTAAATTAAAAATAGAGCTGCCTGTGACCCAGCAGTCCCACTTCTGGGTATTTATCTGAAGAAATCCAAAACACCAGTTTGAAAAGATACATTCACCCCTAGGTATCCATGAATAGATGAATGGATAAAGAGGATGTGGTACATATATACAGTGGAATATTACCTTGCCGTAAAAATGAATGAAAACTTGTATTTGCAACAACAGGGATGGACCTTGAGGGTATTATGCTAGTGAAATAAGTCAGACAGAGAAAGATAAATACCGTATGATTTCATTTCTGTGTGGAATCTAAAAAGACAAAACAAAAACAAACTCATAAATACAGAGAATAAACTGATAGTTGTCAGATGGGAAGGGATGGGAGAGATGGGTGAGAAAGATGAAGGGAGATTAAGAATATAATGACTAAGCCCTGTGTTGTCCAGTGGTTAGAGCCTTGGCCTGCACACCGAAGGGTCACAGGTTTGATTTCCAGTCCAGGGTATGTACCTGGGTCGGAGGTTCGATCCCCACACCCAGTTGGGGCATGTGCAGGAGGCAACCAATTAATGTATCTCTCTCACATCGATGTCTCTCTCCTTCCCTCCCTCCCTTCTCTCTCTAAAAAAAAATTAATGGAAAAAGTATATCCTGATGGGAATTAACAACAAAAGAATGTAATGACCAGTTGGATTAATGACCAATAATACATTTAAAATGGGTAAAAGACACAAATGTTTCAAAGAGGAAACAAAATAATCAAACACGAAAAGATGTTCAGCAGCATTGGAAATCAGGGATTGCAAGTGAAGATAACAAACTGCCACTTATAAAAGTAATCATGAGGTACATAAATCATAAGGTATATAAATGTCTAATTACTATTTTGTATACCTGACACTCATATAATATTATGTCAATATTATATAATCTTAAATAACATTTTAAAATTTTAAAATTTATTTAAATAAAATTTTTAACAATCAAAAACTCACTGAAATTTAAGAAACAAAAAAAGCGACCCAACCCTTGAATTTGACAAAATGGAGGTTGTTAATGATTTTGAGGTACAATCTTAGTGGCTTGGTTGGAACTAAAGCCTTGAAGTTGGATGAAGAAAGGATGTTTGGTAAGAAATGGAGACAGCGAATATAGATACTTCTTACAAAAAGTTCTTCTGTGAAGGGGAGCAAAACAATGGGGTGTTAGCTTGAAGGGCCCATTTAGGTAGAAAGGTTTGGTTTTAAATTTTACTTGCTCATATTCTACTATTAGGTAGCTCCTCTACTTAGTAAACTGACGGCAGACCTGGTTTCATGTGTACTGACTGAATAGAACACTACTGCTAGGCGCCTCCAGCTATTCCTGCAGACCCAGAGAGCCAGTGGTAGCCACAAGAAGAGGAATGTCCTCAGAAATGCACATGTTCATTCCCAAATCCCTCTTCTGTCTTCTCGTCAGGGAAAATGGAGATATCATATTCTGTCCCTCCTGCAAACAGTCCAACAGGGGAGACCATGGTAGGTGCCCCATAGTCTATGTTTGACCTGGGCCTTTAATAATGAAGGAAGGACATTTCAGTAGAGAAAAAAATCACAGAGGCATCATGTAGCCAAGTGATGGGGGTGAGAGGGTTTGGTGTGGCCAATCAGGGGTTTCTGGGGGTAGGGAGGTACGGGGCTTTCCAGCAATTTGGGCTTACTAAAGGAACAAATCCAAACTGAGGTCTTTATCTGGTAGTCAGATGGATTCTACTAAGTGAGAGGAAAAGAATTGGTACAAATTTCCCCAAAATTGAGTCTTTGTGGGCTTGTGCTTGCAAACAGTGGCATTCTTAAGGTTTATACTCTAAGCCTTAAGTTTGCCTTCTCACCTAGAAGAAAGTGAGGTCCAAAATTTCCCTCATTGTTTCACCTCTTAGAATGAAGCATGCAGTCAGTGTAGTTGTTGCATTTAGCTGTCTATTTAAGGTAACACAGGAAATTAGCAGT